AAAAATCGAATGGGATAATAAGGTACTCAAAAATATAGAACGCGAGTGGTAAGAAAGCCGTGAAAAATTATGTGTAATAAAAACATTAGTAATACCAAGGCGAGTAGTCGGTGACGGCAGTAAAAGCGAGATTAAGGTACATGGGTTCGCGGATGGGTCACTTACGGGTAGTAAAAAACGATGGTCAGTGTTTTGTAAATTTAATTTGTTCGCGTCGCCCCACTCAAAACCGTGTCACTGCCGCGACTCGAACTGTTAGCAGCCGTGTGTACGTTTAGCAAATAAGTATGGGCGCAGTTTATGATTAAATATTTCTAATTATTTTAATTGGTCCGATTCTACAGTGGTACTTTCATGGATAGCATCGCCGTCAACTAGGTGGAAAACGTTTGTGGCCCACAGAGAAGGAGAAATACACGAGCTCACATCCATTGCACAATAGCATCACGTGCGTACTGCTGACAACCCGGCGGATGTCTTCTCACGTGGCATTTGCCCACTTCAATTAAGAAATTTAATAATGTGGTGTAGGGGCCCCAGTTGGTTAATTAAGAAAAGTTCTGAGTGGCCCAGGTCAACTTTTGACGAAGATCGTCTAATAGAAATATCGACAGAAGAGCGCGCAACAACGCAAGTGTTGGTGTCGGCGATTAGTCTTGACTTGTCAATTTTAAATAATTACTCGTCACTAACAAATTTTCAACGCGTTTTAGCATATTGTTATCGGTTTGTGAATGATGCGTTGGCTAAAACACGTAAAGTATCAGTACGGGCCTGTGCAGGCGGATGAAATTGATAAGGCGACTACATACATAATAAAAGTTATTCAAAAGTATTACTTTGGGGAAGAAATACAAAGTATTCAAAAGCTATGTACAATAAAACCAAAAAGTAATTTAATGCGTTTAAATCTATTCTTAGATGAGAAGAGCGTGCTCAGGATAGGCGGTCGTTTAAGAAAAACGGTTAATTTGAGTCCGTTACAGCGTCATCCAGTTATATTGCCGGCTAAGTGTGAATTTACTAAATTAGTATTTGTTAACGAGCATTTAAAACTTATCCACGGTGGACCGCAATCTATGTTGGCGTCGATCCGTTTAAAATACTGGCCACTAAATGGACGTGACATTGCGCGACAGGTAGCGCGGTCTTGTGTGCCATGTTTTAAATGTACGCTCATTGTAGTCCAGCCGATCATGGTTGATCTGCCCGCTGAGCGGTTAGAACCGTCCCGGGCGTTCCTTAAAACAGGTATTGATTTCGCGGGACCATTTTTCGTAAAGTCTAGTCAGCGAAGAAAAGACCCCGTTAATAAGGCGTACTCGTGCATATTTGTGTGCTTTGCCGTTCACATAGAGTTAGCAAGTGGACTAACTATGCCTGCGTTTATCAATGCACTGCAACGATTCTGTGATCGTCGCGGTCTTTGTTCAGATATTTTTTGCGACAATGCTACGAATTTTATTGGTGGAAGACGTCAGCTTGACGAGCTACACTCCTTATTTATGTCCAATGAGCACCAAGAGCAAGTTATAAATCATCTATCTAATGTCAGTATACAGTGGCATTTCATACCCCCTCGTTCGCCCCATTTTGGTGGGTTATGTGAGGCTGCGGTCAGATCGCTATAGTCTCATATTTTTAAAACGCTAGGAAACGCATTGTTGACGTTTGAAGAGCTCAATACAGTGTTGGTGCGCGTGGTGGCGACCTTGAATTACCGGCCGCTAACGCCCCTTTCCAACGATCCAAACGACATGTCTGTTCTCACGCCAGGCCATTTTCTTATTGGCGATTCTCCAAGTGCATGACCAGAACGTGACGAAACCACTACGACACCAAACCGACTTACGAGGTGGAGAAGAGTGGTGCAGTCGTCACAGCAGTTATGAGTAGTATGGTCACGAAATTACCTTCAACAGTTGCAGGAGCGATGCAAGTGGATGTCGTCTTCTGGTCCTCGACTACAACAAGGATCTGGCGTGGTGATCCGAGAAGACAATGTACCTCCTCTAAAAAGGACCCTGGGGAGAGTAGTCAGTGACACTGAAGGAGCGGATGGTAAGGCTCGTGTGGCACAAGTTAAAACAACACGTGGTATTTTTAAACGTGCTGTACGTAATTTGTGTCCCTTGCCGTTCAAAGGCAATCAGCCTGATCTTTAATAAATTTAAAAGGTTTATTTTGTTGTTTATATAACTTGTATTAATTTATACTANTTTGTTGTTTGTATACTTGTATTAATTAATACTATATAATTTATTATTATTCTATGAAAAAAAATATATTAGTATAATCGTTTATTGAATTTAGTATTTTTATATTTGATATTTGTATTCTCAATGTAATTTTATATGCATTTATATGAGCACTTATAACTAATGTATTTAAAAATTATTCTTTTTTTTCGTATCAAATGAATTCGTCGCTTTGCGGTATTCTAATTGTTATAAGTAATTTAATGTTTAAATTATTCTTATTATTTTGATTTTGTTGTATAATTTTATGTTGTATTTCTAAAATATTGTTGTATGGTTGAACAATTTTCTGTTGATGTTGTTCAACGGTGGGCGGCATGTTGTGTATTGAGTAGTAATAAGCTTTACGATTATATTATAGCAGTAGTACCGGTTTACACCCGGCCCAGATAACATGTAACAAACGCGCGAGTGCCCAATAAAAATGTAATTTTCATCAATAAAGTTTTTTCGTAAAAGTAATTACGTTGCTGATTATTTCCTTAAGTAAACCCGCAAAACAACTATATTATTAGTACTCTAATGAAAATGTTTAATACATCCTCTATTAATTCTATAACATTCCTGTGTCCCTAGGTAGTTTAAATAGGTGTTTGAGAGATCTCGACACTTTTGAACTGTTACGTCGCTATTTAGGGGTTGAGCATAAATGCCCGTCAACAGTATTCTAAGGTGTAGGCATTGGTTGGTGGCACTGGCCACAACCATTATCTTTATTATGTTATGTTATATATTATGCAATGTTACATTACGAAGTTATTATTATGGCGTTGATGTTAATTTTTTTATGTGTTTTATGAAAATAGAATTATGTTTTTTAAAGTTTAAAGAACCAACTGGTTTTGTTTTATATGTTCTCAAGTAAAATTAAAACTATATTAAAAATATTATTAATTTAAAAAACTAAAAAATATTAAAAATATTAAACTC